GCCACGAAGAATTGAGGCAGTTCTGAAGGCAAAAGGGGGTCCAACCCGTTACTAGCGTGGTGTACCTAATAAAGTGGCCGGTGAGTGTATTTTATTCCTATTTTTACTTAGGATTTTTTTCACACTCACTATATATTAAATTCATTATTTTTATGACATTAGAAATCATTTCTGATCCCGCAGGGATCACTCAAATGTGTCCTCCACACATGCAGGAAGTCATTTGCATCTGTTTAACATATGTTAATGAAGGCGTGTCAGGGGAGGTGTCTTACCTGCGCTCAGTTYCAYGTTAAYTGTGATGTACAAAAGAAATGTGYGTGGATTCAGGCGTACGCACAGTTTGATACATCTGGATTTTTTTGTGCGTACACCGTTTTCTGGATTTGACCGTACATCAGGTTTCAGTAAGAAATCCACACAAGTCTTTGTACATGAGGCCCCTGATGTGTGAGGGGTTAATGTAGTTGGACTCACCTCGACATGCCGCTCTGTGCCCTCGTATACCCAGCCACACAGAATGCACCATCTCCCTAAATTTAGTTAGACATAGATTGAGGAGATTACTGTTCTGTGACCAGATGGAACAGGTGGAAGAAAATGGAAGGTCCTTCAGATATTCTGGTGATGTTCCAAAAATTAATTGATGGTAGAGCAATCTTCTAGTGATTGACTCTGGTGGTCGCTGAGGCAGAGACTTGGGCAATGTCGCTTTAAGTGCTCTGGAGACGAGGATTTGCTGGATAGTCAAATTTTGGATTCAGGAAGAACACTGGTCRTGGAACAGAGGCCCTTTTATGGACTGAATTTCTAGGTGCAACCAAGGTGTTGAGGGGATCTGTTTTGGTGGCCTTAGGAACACATCATGAATGAATGATACTTTATTTATCCCATGAAGGTAAATTACAGAATCATCTGCAAAAAGCAGAGGTGTGATCCTGTTGGCTTCATCAAATTGTAATCTCCTGCTTTTGCTGGAGCAGTTCAAAGCTGAGTGTGAAGTGGCTGGGATCAGAATCGGTGTCTTCAAATCTAAGCCCAAGGGTACCTGCCGTCTCCGGGTCAGGGAAAAGGTCCTGCCCCAGGTGGAGGAGTTTATGTATCTCAGAACCTTGTTCACGAATGAGGGARAAATGGAATGGAAGATTGATAAACAGATTGGTGCTGTTTCTGAAGTGATGGGGGCATTTTACCAATCTGTCGTGGTTTTGCTCAGCTTTCGATTTATCAATCAATCTACCTTCCTATCCTCAGCTATGGTCACAAGCTCTGGATAGTGACCAMAAGAACGAGATCACGTAAACAAGCACGTAAAATGAGTTTATGCAGTGTGTCTTGACTCTCCCATAGAGATAGGGTGGGAAGGTCAGTCATCCGGGAGGGACTCAGTAGAGCCACTATTTCTCCACATCGAGAGGAGCCAGTTGAGGTGGCTTGGGCCTCTGATTAAGATGCCTCCTGGATGCATCCCTGATGAGGTGTTCAGGACCCATTCCTCTGGGAAGAGACCCAAACGAAGACCCAAGACATGTTGGAGGGACTATGTTTCTCAGCTGGCCTGGGATCACCTTGGGATTATCCCAGAAGAGTTAGTCCAAGTGCATGGGGAGAGAGTCTGGGCCTCTCTTATTAGGGTYCGAACGAATTAGAGAGGAACAAAAAATGACAAATGTGTTGTTACTTCGACAGGTTGATTAAATTTAAAAAATAGGTCTCAGATTAGAAATAGATTTGTGTTTTTCTTTAAATTTCTAATCACGGAGTTGAAATGAATCTGTTCTCCATGTTGTTGTTTTTTGTCTCTCAGAGAGTGCCATAGTTCTCGACCTTCTAATGTCTCTCCCAGAGGAGCTTTGCCTGCTGGACTGTCAAAACCTGCACAAGCATATGATTCAGGTACAGCCTGCTGCATCYACACTCCAACAAATAAAACAACTGATTTGGTTGTTTTCCCCTCTTAAAGTTTATAAACATTTGTGGCTAATAATGGCTTCTAATTGAACCTCAAAGAAAGGCAGGACTTTTTGCTGCCCTGGAGCTTAGAGGTGTGTTAACACAATGCTGAGGTGGAAAGACTCATCTATCTGGAATGATCAAATGTCATTTCCAAACTGTACATGCATCTCCGCTCTGCTGCGGTGCRGTGCGCAGGTCACAGGTGTTCGTTTGTGTCTCAGTTTAKACAGCCTCCGCTCCGCTCCGGTCCRACTGAGTGTRCAGGAAGGAGTTCGCGCGATAAATTCAGTGATAACAGCAAAAAATAATTCTGTGAAAGACGAACTCCAAACACAGCTGAAAACAATGATATAAAGGCTCTTGGGATCTATGTTGAAACTGTCTCACTGTCGTCTTTCTGAAACTTCTGGTTTCAAAATAAAATCCAGGTGTATTGTGTGTGTACACATAGCTTCATGCTACATGTTTCCATCTGCTTCCCAAACAGAACGATACATTCTGACAGCATTTGTGTAGAAATTTATCCATATATTTATTAATATAGCTGCAATTTTGACATTCTGACTAATTATTCCGCTGAATAGTGTCTTATTTTGAAAATACAGATGTTGTGCTCATTCCTTTTCCTGTTGGTGTGAGGTAATCTTTAAAAATTTACTCCAGCGCAGCTCCGGCATCCGTCAAAAATAGGGTCTGTTCTAATTTTGACGGATCACCGTCCGCTCACCACTGCCGTGCGCAGCCAGTGTAAACACTCTCATTGATTATAATGGGTGCGCATTTGCTGCGGAGGTCGGACCGGAGCAGAGCGGAGTCGGAACACAAGTAGTGTAAATTGGGGGTTAGAATCTAATATTCAACAGAGAAAAATCCAAAACTCCATCTCAGACTGAGCAGAACTGCGTAGGAAGGCAAAGGCCAGGCTAGATATTCCATACAGCAGGGCTATTCAACTAAATTGCTCTGAGGGCCACAGTTACTGCAGGTCAACAGCTGAGGGGCCGAACATCCAGCAATTAAAGTTATT